TCTACCTGAACTTCAGACATGGTGAGACAAGATTAATCATTAAAACGTCTATGATCCAGACTATTCCAAACCTGCCCTGAAGAACCAACAGCCTCTATTTTGCTAAGGACTGCGTTCACCAGCTGAGTGGTGACGTGGATCCTACATTACTTGCAAAAAGCTCTGATCCTCCCTGAGGCCAGTTGGGTGGAATCCTCAACAGCACACAATGAATCCTGAAAGCCCTGGCAGCCCACTACGTGTGCGCAGACTGTACACACTGCACAACTAGGACTGGGGCCCAGGCCCTTCTGTGTGTCTTCTTCTATTAATCTCTGCATCTGCATTAAATTCAATGCTTCAAATTACAGATAGCCTGCTTGGTTAGCCCCCAAGAGAGAATGAGTATCTCTGGGATTTCCAGATGGCTTGCTACACACTTCCAAATGTCCAAAGTCTCCAAATGCTTTGGAAAGAAGAAAGAGGACCTGTTTTGGAAAGCCAGACATACAGCAGTTTTGGGAAAGGTGCTCTGTTTTGTAAGAGACACAAGTCTCTGCAGGTTTTGGGAGGTATGTGGGGGGCAAGCAGTAATACTTCTAAGCCTGTTGGGGCTGTTTAAATCCCAAGTATTAGAAGCAACTGTCTTTCTAAAGTGACTACCTTTCTTTCTATATTTTCATTGGATGAAATGAAGAACAGGATATTTTGACTCTTAGTCCAAGTCAGCTACAACTTTGGACAAAAATCAAACCAACTTGTCTCCACTTAAATCTCATATAAAAAGTCTATAATGTAATAAATTTTATAGACGTCTAAAAAATATATATATACTTTTAAATTAAGTAGTAGTTAAATGATTTACTGTATTATTCTCTATTGCCTAACCCAATTAAATTCATATTCAAGATTAAATTATGGATAACTCATTATTGATAAGAAACGTCTCAGTGTTCTTGCTTTGAATTTTGCTCTGACGGCATCCTTTGGATACAAATCTAAAAGGAATTCAAGTCACATGCGTTTCTTAGTTCAACTGGCAGATCTGTGAGACTGGTGGGAGAAAAAAAAAAAGAATATATGGGTCCAGATTCAGCAAGATTTGCTTTGGCATTACTCTCATTTTAAGCGTGAGGTTATTGCACTGTCTTCTTGAATTACAGCCGTGCCCTAAGCATTCATCGCTGACTGACAACAGCAAAACACACTGATTCTCAAAACTTGTCAAGATTAGATTTAGGCTGACAAAGGACAAATAAGTTAAACTTGTATATTACTTCTTGTATTATAATCCCTTGAGAATGCCCGCGCAACCCTGCTAGTAAAGTTATACTCAAAGCTTTTTCACTTTTCCCTAACATTTTCATTGCTTTTCAATACAATTGATCCTTCAGGATTTTTAACCTTGGACTCAGAACCGCTTGTGTTTGAACTTTGAAAAGTATTACACTGAAGTAAAACATTAAAACATATTTAAGTGCGATTACGTGGCAAGAAGTAGTACTCAAAAAAGACGCAATGGGGGATTTTATGTTTATTATCAGTTGCAGTTCACATCTGCTCTATTCACAAAGAAGGGGGAGGAAAAGATGTTATTTCTAACTGCCAGTTCTTTAAAATCAACCTGGGACTTCACTTGATCTGTTTTTGCATTACTAAAAGTTCCTGTAAATTATAACTCGGTAATTCTATTGATATGTGAATCAGCAGCTACAATAAACTCTTCAAAAACCTTATCTGCCAGGGATGCAAATAACAGTAATTGTTGAATAATATTCTCTAAATTTCACTTTACTTTTGGCTTCACAAAGTGGTTATGAAGTAGCCTGCTATTTGCATAATCGTTTTTTAAAAGAACAACAACTATGTGCTGAGGATTTAAGCCCCAGATGAAAAAAAAAAAATGAGGAGCTGCTATAATCTCCAAGCAATTGGCATTTCAGCCGGAATGACAGGCAGAAACGGAAGGCGACTCGCATACAGATGATCTGCAACGTGCTGGTGTTGGGCTGCACCAACCAGAACAATAACACATTGAGAAGGGTTTTGTTCATGTCCATGGGATTTAGGATCAATGAAGTTATTAATCTCTTTACCTTTACAGATAAGTCACAATAAGGAGCCTGCAAAGCGATGGCTGCTGTACACCAAAGACTGGCAGTTTTGGATTGAAGTGAATGAATGGTTTGCTACTTCTGCCTGGGCAGTGCCGAGCCACTCCTGCTCCCAGGCGGGTGCTGCAGTGCTACCCCAGCAGCCAGGGGCACACCTGAAATGTGGTGAGTGATGGGGAAGAGCTGGGGTCCAGCAGTGGAAGGCAGGAGGTAGAAGAGCTACTGAAGACAGCAGCGATTGGATTCGCTCCAGCAATGGTTAAGAATTGCTGAGCTAAGGTATAGCTTTTAGAAAAAATGAATCCTGTTGATTTGAAGGTAGCAGCAGTTGACAGTACTCCACAAGCTCAGCAAATTTATCTAGCAGCAGATTAACCTGATTTTCAAAGACACGCGCCTTCGCAAAATAGAACGAGAGAGACAGAGAGCCAACAGGTCCAGACTCTCTGAGGGAGAGATGCAGCACGGCAGGAGCTTGTTTTGTTAAGACAGAAATGTTATTTCTTTTAAAAATCTCAGCACTTCTCTCTCTTATCCAAGAATATGCTCTCTTCTGGATAGTTTAGTGATGTTACTCAGGTGGTAGAAGATTACTGGGGCCTAGACACATCAAGGCACCTATGATGCACATTCTGTGCATTGCTTTGTTCTCTGCTCTCCAGGCTCCCTGCCCCTCCAGGATTGCTTCTGCAGCTATTGCAAATGTCAAACACTTAAGAAGATACAAAGATAACACCTTATTTTATCACTGTTTAAATTCCACCTTACATATTGCCTCCAAAAAAAAAAAAAAAAAAAAAAAAAAAAAGAACCACAAATGTACACAATATAGCTAAACAAAGCTTGCTGCAGAGCTACAGTTTTTGAAC